GTTCATATCAAGATAAAGAACTAGAAAATCTTAAAGAAAAATAAAATAACATCTTTTAGAAAATAAAATCAATGATTTAAGGTAGAAAACTTTGATTTGTTATATAACGTTCACACAACCACATCGAAGACCTCCATCGCACACACCACCGCATTGAAGACCCACAGCACCTCCACCGCCCGCCACACCCACAACAACGTCGCCGCTGTGGGGTCTCAGCAACACGAGAAGCTGCTGCGAATTCGCTGTTGCTGCGATTCGCAGTAGCGCGAGAAGCTGCTGGGACGTGCAGCAGCGTCATTACTGAGAATCGCAGCAGAGACGATGCTGCTGCAAATCGCAGCAGCAAAGCAGCAGAGGGAGGGGGGAAGCAGCGAAGGGAGGAGGCGGTGGGCAGCGGTGGAGAGAGATGGTAGTGTATGCGCCGGATGGGAGAAATGATGAGACCAATAGAGATGAAATGGATTAGGTTTGGATAGATTTGGGATTTTATATTTAAAATAAAGTTGGTGGGGTAGGTAGTAGGATGGGTATTTTAATTTTATAATACCACTATTAATTAAAAAAGATAAAACCTCAGTTTTTATTAAATAAAGCTAAAACCTGATTTTCATAAACTTAAAAGTAAATTGCTGGTTTTATGTAATAATCCCCAATTTAAAAAGTATAAATTTCACGACCTTACACAATGACACTTGTATATATTAACCCTGCTACATGAACATGGTATATATGCCGTTATTTCATTGAACAGTTAGAAAAAAAAAGAACCCACAATCTTACACAAAGCAGATGATATAATGTTGGACCATGCTAGGTGGGATGAATGTTGGACCTAACTGGAAGGCCCTTGTTTGGCCCGACACAGCACGACATGATCATGTCGGTTATCTCCTTTTAATGGTCAGGCATCGCTGCCAAAAAAGTTGGATAGGTTCCATGGCATTGGTTGACCAGCTTAACATTTCTAAACATCAAAACATTGCCTTTTTGAGTCTTCTAAAATGTTACATTGTTCATTGTTGTGTCAATTGATTTTTGGTAACTGATCACTTTCGGCGAAATATTTAAACTTAATTTGTCTACAGCAAACTTTATTGGACAAATGCATTTACTATTTAGTACTGGTATTGTAAATAACATGTAGCAATGAAGTTACCCTTTCTTGCTTAAAACTATTTTTATCTGAAATATAACTCAGGAAGTAACAACAAAAATCAGTAAATCTTGAGTACAACAAACCTAGAATGAACATTTATTGTTATTAAACCTGGAAGAGTTGAGAATCCCTTCTATGAAAATTATTTATATCTTTATTTACTATTTCGGGCTGAATACATAAAAATTACTTTATTAATCAAATCTATTACAAGGTGGATTATTATTCGTACTACAAAAGTGAAATAAAAAGCACAGACGATACCTAAAAACAGATCATAATCAAAATCCTCTAATTTCGTAAAGGTTCGAAAATGAGAGGAAGTCCTTGAGCAGGCCTAAGCGAGAGCAAGACGGAGGGAGAATGACAATAAACCTGGGATATAGAGAATGAAAACCTAGTGAGTATTAAGGTTAACACAATCTTATATTCCATGGTGGCTAAATTCCTAGCTACACACATTCTTCCTCCAAACCCAAATGGCAAAAACCCCATTTTGTGTTTGCATCCTCCATATAAGGGATCATCCTCGAACCTTTCTGGTCTGAATTCATTAACGTTTTCACCCCATAAATCTTGGTCGTGATGCATGGATACAACGTCGATCCACAAGTTTGTGCCGTTTGGGATTGTAAAATTATTGTCCACTTTAATGTCCTGTCTTGCTTGCCTTTGAACATTTGGTGCCGGTGGATAGAGTCTTAGTACTTCACTCATAACCCATCCCATCTGCATATTTCACAGACAAATTGATTTTGAGAATTGTTACGACGAAAACGTAATATTTTGGATTCTTAGAAGAGTGACGAATGATAAAGAACAGGTGATATTAAGGTTTTGACGGGTACATGATATAGAAAAAGAAACCGAAACATTATCGTGTTCGATGATGACAGTTGGTCTATATGCACGAATTAATTGATTCATTCATAATATTATGTATTGACTTTTCATTTCTACCAATTTGGTAGGAGAAATTAAGGATCCAAAGCACAGGTTTTTCATGACATGATGGCCGGTGTCAATTTTCAGCAGACAGTCAAAGCGCCGCCCACATAGGGTGGTGCCATTTGTCATCCGGGCAGTGAAGCCACCCATATCCGGAAGTTTTTGTGTCGTAATCGGTGAGTTGTCTACTGTGCTATGTTATAATATGTGTACTGAAAAAGTTCATAAATTGCATGGTTAAAATTGAAGTTTGATATGTTAAAAAGTCATAAAACTTGTTAGCAGTTTTTTTTTTTTCAAACAAGCACGTAGTAATTTATTATCATGCATGATATAATGAGATAATCGAAATCAAATTACCTTCTTCAATCCAGTAACCTTTGTGGCATCAATCTCTCCATCTCCAATCACTTCTCTAATCTCCTCTCTAAGCTGATTTTGCCATTCGGGATTCATAGCCAATGAGAGCAATGTCCAAGTCAGTGCCAATGCAGTAGTCTCATGCCCCCCAAAGAAAAATGTTTTACACTCATCAACAAGTTCCCGTGTCGTCAACGTTGTCCCAGGGTGGCCCACCACGTCGTTCTTGCGCAGCAATAGGCCGAGCAGGTCGTTTTGAGGTTGCCCCTGGTTCAACTTGAGTCGATCGCCGATTATTGATGCGAGGAGGACATCAATCTCGTCTCCAAGATTCTTTGCTATTAGGGTTTGTTTAGGGTTCATGAACTTGCTAAGGGGCACCCCCTCATAATTGTTGGCTTTGAAAAGAATGATTTGCAATTCTCTTAATTTTTCAAACACTTTTTGTCCATTTTCATAGCTTATTCCGAAACTTGTTTTTGCTATGATTTCTCCGGCGGTCTGTATGATTTCTTTCTCGAAATCAATTTCTGGCTTGCCGGAGTCAATGAGAGCACTCCACCGATCTAACATATTTGTTGCCGATTCAACCATTAAACCAGCCATAGCCTGTCAACCAAGTTTTTAAAAGAACATACAATTAATAGATTAACTTAAGCTCTATTTAACTATTTAAACTTTTAGATCATGGATGGTTTAACCGTTCCATACTGCTTAAATGGTAGTCTTAAAGAAATTAAACATATTAGTGGAAATAATTTGAAATGGGTCTTACATATGAAAATGGCCGTAGTCCAATAGAAACACCCTTTTTTTCATAAATTAATTATAATTAAGAATTAATCACCTTCAAGTTGGATGGAGAGAATGCAGGAGTAATGACATGTCTGTGGCGTACCCAATCATCGCCTTCGACCATTACAAGGCCACTGCCAAACATGGGTTCTCTATCATTCTTGAAAACACTTGGTTTTCCCCAATCTTTACCTTTTATATCTGCAGACATTTTCTTTAGGAATTCTGGATCTGCAATGTTAAGAAATGGTTCTATCCCTAGCCAATATACGAATACCTTCCCTGCAACCATAAAAACACATTAATTTCAGCAGGCACTCAACCATATCGAAGGAAATGCCCATAAACAACAATATTCACAATTAACTTCAAGTGCAAAATAAAAACATGACAGAAATCAAAATCAAAACACAAGATTTGTTTCTGCCTAAGCCCCAAAGGTTTGGTGATAACTTGTAATATACATGTAACATGTATTTTTATGTTTCATTGAAAAACATCACATGCTGTAATTCCCATAAATTGTAATCGCCATTAAATCTACAATAAAAACTAACTATATATGCATTTATAGATTCAGGCTATATTTATGCATGTACCCTAAAATGTTGAAGTATGCTCTCGCATCCAATTTTCAAGTCCGTTGACTAGTAAAATAAGTCCAAAAGGGATGTGCTTTCCCTAGAAGCCACCCCTGAAACCGAATATTTTTTGCTAGTAAACGAATAAATTTTGCTCTAACACCACAGTTACAAGGGATATGCATTTGCATGCGACTCTCTCTGATATAGGGAGGAAAATAAATTTTGCTAGTAAACGAATAAATTTTACTACATGTGCATAGTGTAAACTACGATTAGTGGGAGAGTGTGTGTGTGTGTGCGCGCGAGAATGCAGCTATACATGCATGTATATATGAAAAAAAACACACTAGATTTTTCATCTTTTGAAGAGTACTTTGGCTTTAGTAGCTAGTTAAAGATATGCAAAGCAAAATATTTAGGTTTAGATATATATAGAAATGATCTAATGAGCACCGGTGCTCATCTTATCCTAAGCACCGATGAGTTGGCACATTAATTCATTGGTGGATAAAGATTTNTATATATATATATACATACTGGCTTACCATGCAATTTCTGCCACCGGGCAAAGTAAGGGAATACAACTGAGTGGATATCATGGGATATGCTTAAAGAAGAGGAAGAGACAATTCTATTCTTCTTCTTGATCTCGATTAAATTTCCCATAGGAAAACTAGGTTTTGGCCCTGAAAACCCATTTGCTTTAAGCTTCCTATATGCTAAATTTGGCAAAACCCACCAAGAATACGAGATTCCACACATCAACAACAAAAGAAAGACAGCCATTGCTAAACAAAGAGTTTGGAAAAATTGAACTGATTCCATCTCTCTCTCCCCCTTCGAATGAGTCGATTTAGGTTTTTTTTATGATTACACATAATGGAAATGTGGGTATTTATAGATATTCTAGCACATAAAGGGCAACAAGAACGTCAAACATTGAATAGAAAACAGCCTACGTTTGAACATTTTTAATGCAACTAATCTTGTTTTCATTTAGTGCAAAGTTTTTCTTCTGCATTTGTTGTCTTTCGTGTTTGAATTGTCAAACTTGACTATTTTCACTAAAAATGAGTACACATTCTTTAATCCAACTAGCCCCCCCACAATTAATTGCCAAAGCCACCTCACACATAAAACCAAAAATGTATTTTTCAATTGTTCTGCCTAGGGATGTAAAGGAGTCGAGTCGACTCGCAATCCGAAGTTTGCTGCTCGGATAAAAACGAATCAATCTTCTTTTGACCTGAGTCGAGCCGAACCAAAGCTTGGTCAAAAAAATGAGGATCGGCTGGAACTTTCAGCTCGAGTTTTTTGAAGCTGAGCCAAGTTGGCTCTTTTTTCTTCCTAAAATTTTAATTTTTTCAAGGCAACCATACACCTGTTTATTTTAAAAAAAGCTACGACTGTCTTTAAATTTAAAAGCAGCTACTTTATTTCAAAGACAAGGGCCAAAATGGCATGTTTTGGCGTGACTGACATGGGTCGGCTTGGGCTTAGACCAACACTCGAAAATGAGGCTCAGCCCAAGCCTCGGCTTGATTCCAACAAGCGGCTAGCCAAGCTGGTTTGAGCTTTTCTCGGGTCGATCTGTGGGTCACTCGAGCCGACGAGTCGCTTAGATTCTTTAGAATTATAATAGTGAAATTAAAATTCAATTTTAATTCATCTAGGTTTTAGAATTTAGAAACACATCTGTGAATAGTATCATACGAGAAGTCTCTTTAATCAACGGCTATAGATGTGAAGAAATGCGACATTGCTTATGTTGGGGCTGGTATTTTTTTTTACAAAAATTAATTTTTAGAAGGCAAAAAAACGTAGATTTTCAAAATCTGGGGCCTTGGTGCCTTACCATCGAGGGGCTTAGGAGATCGCATAACATGCATAGTGCTTGAACCAACTCTAGGTAAAAAAAGAAACTCTCGATTTTATTTCCACGTTTATTACTTAAAGTAACATATTTCTAAAATTGATTCAAATACGAGATACAAACAAAAGATAAATTGACAAATATTTCTCTTTTGAAATTCGAGTTGGATGGTGCCGCCTGAAAATGTTGAATTGGGGACATGTTTTAGCTGACACAGTTTTATTAGTTTGTACATTTTGAGGTTCTTTTTTTCGTATAACTAGATTTTATTTTGAAAGGATTCTCTGTTTTTCTAATTAAACGATAAATCGATTCCTATCCAAATCTTATAATATTGACTAAAACCATACTGATAGCCTAAGAATAACTAACAAAGAGGTGGATAAATTAGTTTTTAAAACTTTTTTGAAAAATAAACTTAAAATCAAGCACGTGATAACTAGATAGATTAATTTGCTGGACATCCAAACAATAATAAGTTCAATAATTAAACTGAAAGTCCAAAAATAGCTAATCAAGCGGAGGGTGAATTGGTTTCTAAAACTTTTGCTATTAATTACCTTAAAATCAAGCACGTGATAACTAGATAGATTAATTCAAATAGCAAGCACGAATATGAAGGCAATAAATAAAGAAGAATATAGAATGCAAACGATATAATTATGGAGGTTCGATCAAGCGCAATGATCTACATCCTCCATTGCCGAGCTCTCTAGCACGAGTAAGGCCAATTTACTATTGTGGTGCAATCTAACCCTTTACAAAGTTTTCGACGACTTACAAGTAAGGAGCACCGATTGAGCTTTACGAGATCTCAACATAACCTACAAGTTTAAAGAGAATTGAATTTACAAATTGAAACTTCTCTCTTAATAAATGATATGATCACAATTAAGTATCAAGAGAGAAATATGCTAACACTTTAATATATAGTAATGAATGAAGCTCAAGTGTTACATATGAAAAAATTTGATGTATAGAATGATGTTCAAGAATTAATTTGACCTAAAGTTTTTCATCACCAAAATGATTTGATAATAAATGATATGAGATATCAATGCAATTTTGCTAAAAAGAATCTCACTTGAATGCTCTTAAAAAGTGTTCTTGAATGTAAAGTGAAGTGGTGTTTGTAGCAGTTAAAACGTTAAAAAGTTCTGCCCAACCGGACAATCCTTACCGGACGTATGCCACTGTACCGGATGACTGAACTAACCGTTGAGCGTCAAAAATCAGAACGGTTAAAAATTTGACCGTTGGACTACCGGACCCGCCGACTCACCAAACGTCCGCTAGAGCAGAAATCTCCAGTTTACTATTTTCTTGATTATTTTTGCAAGTGTAAATTATTTAGTGACATTTTCACTAAACTTTTTCAAAATAAGTGTCATTGGTAAAAAAATTCAAAAGTCAAGTGAAGATTTTTGTCACATCAAAAATAATTTTTATGCGAGTGCGTTTGTAAAAAGTTTATTTCGTGAATAAAATTTGAACTTACGAGCTTGTAGTGATTCATTGTTAAGAATTAAAGCGTTTTACCTTTACATATGGATTCAAATCATCTAAGTCTAGATTTGGCGTGAGAGCATGTTTTGTTGCTCTATTTTTAATTTGGCGCGAGTGCTTGATTTGTCTCCGATTGTTTTAACACGAGTGCTCGATTTCCAAATTTGGTTGTGAATGCTCGATTTCTATCGTGTTCGCAACATGTAACAATGAAGTCTCGAATATGAATGTTAGATATAAGAATAATTTGTTTGTTATAATCAAAACTCGAAATTAACCATAGGTTAATAGATGCACCTCATTTTATTCAAAAAATAAGTCAATTTTGGCCATGAGAAATATAATCCAATGTGTTGTTCTGGAGTGATAAGAGAATCATAGTAATTTTTTTTTCATCATAATGAATTATTGTAGTTGTAGAAGATGACGTAGTTTCACATTGAGTCAAACTTCTATAAATTTTATATATTTTTGTGTCTATTTTTTTCCTGTGAATTAATTGTTTTCGATGAAATGAAAATAGGGTCCCTAATTCTGTCACCACAATTGGATTATAACCTTGACAAAAATAAATATGATTATAATTTCCCAGAATGGTCAATCTTTATGACGTTTGTGATTAAGGAGCAATTTTGACTTTTTTATGTGACTAATCAATATTAATCATAAAGTTTAAAAAGTCAAAAACTTTCTAAAATAGAAATATACAAATTTCCAAAACATCCTAAATTGTCATTGAATCCATTCATAACACAGTGTCATATAATAGAATTTGTTCATCATTTTAATATATAAGGTTTAGGTAAGCATTAAGCAATAAATACTTGATCTAGAAATTTTGATAGATCTAACGGTTAATTGGTCGAGCTGAAAAATAAATTGATATAACTTATCTCAATTTTACACAAATAATTTCTCAATTTTATTATTGCTTTTTATTTGAAAAACACTAAATAGAATTAATTATTGTTATTGTTGTTTAAGCAAAATGGGAACGACTTTAAACTCAAATTTGATTTATTTCCACTCACAAGCACTAACTCCTTCTCGACTCCATTTGACACCTTCACGAGAACTTTGCATATTCACAATCTTCACGTAAAATAGGGAAGACAACCGGGGGGATATAGAACGGGTCGACCATTCTCATCTCCGTCATGTCTGGTATTTTTATTATCTTATCATATCTTCATACACGGTTAAAGCGGGATGAGACGGGTTCGGGGCTGGATCGAGGTGGAGTAGGACAGGTCCTTTGTCCCATTTATCGCCCCATTTATTTTTTCTTTTTCGTTTTTATTTATTTTATTTTTTGCTTTTATTTTTTATATCTTTAGTTAGTAAATATTATTATTTATTTACCATTTTGTTAAAAATAACTTATGTTCTCTTTCAAAATAATGATAAATCTATTATTTTTGTTTGATAAAAAATTTAAATTTGAAATTAACTTTAAATTGGACGGGTACTGTATTTCACGTATCCGTTTCGGGGCAATGACCATTCTCCCCGTCTCCGCCCGTTTACCTAGTTAGGTGGGTAATTTTTGGCCCATTCGGGGCAGGATTCCATGGGTATCGAATTGAATGAATTTTTTTGTCATCCCTAACGTCAAATTAAAGAGTTCTTGATCAAATATGAAACACGTATGGCTTTTATTTAAGGTAAAAAAAAAAAAAAAAATTGCCTCTTTACCATTCGTAGTGTAGTCGAGTTTTCAACTGTACTATTAGGTTTAGTTGATGTCGGAAATTGACCTTTGAAAATAAATTTTACATTTTTCAACCCCATTATAAAATTATAGCCCCCGTCATCACTTTGGTCGGAATGATTTCTGAATATATATGTGTAATATTATAATTTTAAGATACGGCTGAGACAGTCAATTTTGATTCGCATACTGCAAGTTGAAAAACCAATAGTAGTCGACAGGTAATCCTTAAAAAAATTTAGTCTTTGATAATTAGCCTTTACTTTTTATTTCAAATATAATAATGATGTTTCAAGTCTCCACAATGAGATTAGGAATTGTTTTGGTTGATAAAATTTAAAAGGATCTCATTAAACCTACTTGTTTCTAATTAATTATGTTTAAGGCCTAATTGTTGACCTTATTGTCGAGAAGAATTTGAAATCAATGCATCAAATCAAATGGACGGCCGACAAAAGAGCTATCATTATCCACCCGGTCAATTTTTTAAACTTTTGGGATGCTCTTTGGGGGGTAAACAGGATTATGGCTTTTAGTGTAATATTGTATTGATTAATAAAAAATTATTTATTTTACTTACAAGTAGATTTACATATTTACTTTTGGTCTACAAACCATGTTTGGATTGGTTTTTTTTTTACTTTTAATTTAAAAAGTTAATTTTCAAAAGTAATTCTTATCTTACTATCATAATAA